CAACTTGTAATCCTAGCTGATGTATTAATATCACCCAGTTATTATGCATAGACGAAACATTTTCTTTTTGTATTTGTGAACCTATCTGTGATAGGTTAAGTGTTTGTTATGCTCAGGTGTCAGTTTTATTTATTCGCGCTCGATAAATTTAATTTTTTTCCGTTTATACCACTCGACAATATTGTCAATCCTATTTGTTATTGAAACTTTTCTTTTTTCATGAAAATGCAAAAAACAAAAAATCAAGATATATCATTCTATTTTTTCATAGTTTATTGAAATTTATTTGGGTTTTAGTAAAATATACTCGCATATATTGATTAACATTTTGTATATAATTTTAATTCATATCCAATGAATATAAAATAGATTAGAGTGAATTGAATAGTAATTTATCGATCATGATTTTATTGTAGATGGATAAAAAGAAAAAGAGACAATTATTACAGAATCGTGAAGATTTTATTGCTCAACTTTATCAAGGTATTAACAAAAAAAGAATATTTTCGATTGTTTGATTAGAAAACATATATTGTAGAATGTAGATCGATAAAAGAAATAAATAAATGGTCACAATTTGAACCGATTTACGAAAAATTACAAAAAGTGATTGATGTTGAAAAGGGTAAATTGATTATTTTTAATAGAAAAAATTATTTTCATAATATAGAACTTTCAAAATCCAATCCAATTTGGAATCGTGAAGAAAAATTGAATGATTTTATCGAATGGTTACATACCAATGGTGTTGATACCTCAAATTTTGAAATTGATTCATTTGAAAATTATGGATTTGGTTTAAAAGCAACAAAAGCACTTACAGTAATTTATTTCATTCAATTTTTTCCTCTTAAAATTGTTTGTTTTACAAGTCTGATGAATGTTTTCTAACTGTACCACTTTCAATTATTATTACAACGGATACAATTATGTCGTCTCAACCATTTGCTTCATTGATTAGTAATGATCAATTACTTCATTCAATGCCAAATGTCGCTTTAGCATTATTTCTACTTCACGAACGATATCAATCATCAAAATGGAAACCATATATTGATGTTTTACCAAGTCATTTTAATACACCATTATATTTCGATTCTAATCAATTAAATAGACTTAAATCATCTACTGCACTTTGTAAGAAAATATTTTTTTAACTTTAAAAAAAAACAATTCATTGTTTAGGTGATATCTTACTACATATACAACGTATAGCTAGGCAATATTGTTATTTACATAATCTTCTCAAGGTAAATAATTATTACGCTTTTTTCGTTCGAATGAAATTCTTCGTTTTAGAGTCAAGTGTCACTTTCGAAACTTTCGGAAAATTTTTCATATGATACTTATCGGTTTGTTTTTTTATCTTTTTGTTTAACAAATATTTTTGTTTGTTGATGAAATATAGATGGGCAGTTAGTGTTGTTTCAACACGACAGAATAATATATTGAATAATAATGGAGTAGCTCAATTAGCTTTAATACCTGTTATGGATTTTCTTAATCATCAATTTGGTCAAGAATGTATTCATTATGATCTAAATCTTAAACAAATTGAATGCAAAACAATGAATGATATTAACAAAAACGAACAAATATTTATGTTTTATGGTAAACGAACAAATGCGGAATATTTAATTCATAATGGATTTGTACCTGAACAACCAAATCCGAATGATACATATTTATTAAAACTAGGTAATTTAGAAAAAAATAAAAATATTATTTTTATATTTGTCTTTTCTTAGCTCTTCCAAAGACAGACAAAGCTTTTGAAGAAAAACGTCAACTTCTAGAACGTTATGGAATAGAAACGTAAGTTTAATGAGAGTATACGATAGATTTGCTTGCTAAACGTCGAAAGGAAAATGTCGAAAAACGAGTGTCGAAAGCAAAAAGTCGAAATGAAAAATCTCGAAAGGAGAAAATATCGAAAATACTCAGATGTCGTCATTGACCAGTATCGATGTTTGTTCTAATCATTTTTCTCGTATTTTCTTTCGGCTTCTTCTAAAATCGTTTCGTCGACCAGTCAGGGTGTGGATTAAGAGACGATAAATACCCACACCCATACCCATACTCACACCCATACCCACACCCAAACCCATATCCACACCCACACTCACATCCACACCCACATCCACACCCACACCCACATCCACACCCACACTCAAATCCACACCTACACCCACACTCAAACCCACACCCACACTCACACCCATTGAAATCAAGTATTTCATTATCAACAATAAACACGATTTTTTTGTTCATGCGACATTTTTCATTTTCGATATTTTCCCTTTCGACATTTAGCATACATACCATAAGATACAATGTATTTTTTATATTTAGATCGGATAAATTTCTTTTATTTGTTGATAATGAACTTTTCAATCCGGCAATATTTATTTTTATTAAAATCTTTCTTATGAATTTAGGTAAAGTCGATTTTTTGATCTTTTTTTCTAATTGGGTTTATTTTCTATTAGATGATGTGTCTAACACACTTTCAAAGAATATGACAATGGATGAATTTTTTAATATATATACATTAGATCAAGATAATGATGTTCGAACATTTCTTAAAACACGTATTCAATTATTAATACGTTCATTAAATCTAACATGTTTAACAAATAATGATTTCATTGATTATTTATTAATGTCTGAACATAATATATTAGCATCTGCTTTAAAAAAACTTGAACTTCCATTTTAAAAAGAAAGAAATTTTGAATTGTTTTTGTTTTTTTTTATATATCCTTTGCTTTTATACTTGAATTTGGTTTGTTGATTGAATTTGTTGAGTAGAAATAGTTGCACGAATACCTGACCACATTTGTCCAAGAGAACGATAGAGTGGTGCTATAACAGCATCACTTATTGTTTGAACATAAATACCAGCTTCAGCAATCATTGATTGATTTAAACGACGTATTGGTGTCAAAACCCAAATCATAAGAAATGTATAAGCACCAATAATAAGACCCCAAAATAACATTAATGGTAAACCAAAAATAACTGTTAAAAGACGATATATAAATAATTTACTATATTTATATACTTGTCTTGATGCTCTATGTAATAAATCAAAACTATAAGCACTTTGATCAGGTTCAGCAATAACATTGAAAAAATCAAGCTAGATTGAATGAAAAAATTTCTTTTTTCCTAAAGATGATTTAGAATAATTTCTTACTTGAAAATGTTTATTTATACCATATGGATCACGAGAATTGTGTACAACAGTATCCGCTGTTGGTAATGTTGGATAAATTCCATTTTTGTCTGCATATGATTCAGCCATTAATGTTCTAAATTATAATGATGTAAATAACTGATTGTTTATATGTTGACATCTACTATTTATAAAGACCTGTGATAACTATATTTATTTTGTGTAATAATGACGAACGTACATAATAAATAAAGATAAGATGCGTCAAGCCTAAATTTTCATATTATCAGAGATCTTTAACTTGAATTATTTTGCATTGATAAAAGAATTTATTATATTTATCGCTCGAGACATATCACATATGTGTATATAATACGTGTCGCCCATATTGAAAGGGTTCAAGTCTGATGAAGTTCAAAATCGATGATAATTAAAACAATGAATTGAAATTAACAGTTACAAAATTCTTTCTGATATTTATCTTTATCATTTTTTATAAGATATCATATTGTATAGAATCGACATGAATCATTACAAGACATTTGTTTATATATTGGTACCAAAAGGACGTCGTTTTTGTTCTAGAAAGTAGTATCGATCTTTTACTATCACATCTATGTGCTAGATATTGACTATACATATACACATGGGACTATGTAATTGCACAATCTCTATGAATTATCAAGATAAGATTAGGATGTATTATATGTAGAAATGGTGGTCCGAAGGTAGCGGTTTATCAATGTCATAAAACAAAACAACCCACCGTTACCAATCCATGACTACTTTTTTTGTTTTATTGGCCTGAAGATTTTCTTTTCTCTTTACATCTCAGCTATGTCATTATTTTGATTGTGTACCTCTTCGCCAAAAAAATATTTCATCGAAAGAATTTTTCTCTTCACCCACACTTTTGCAGCGGCCTCCGAACAAAAAACCGTTTTCGACGAAATCTTTTTCGGCGAAGAGGTTACATGCCATTATTTTAAATAAAAATTATTATGATCAGATGTTTCCTTTTTTTATTTATTTTTGTTTACGCAGACAGGCCAAAAAAAAACAATAGAAGGTAACACACGTCGAGTGTAAAAATCGTTAAAATAAACAAAAAAAAACTTTTTGTCTGCAATCTATTCTTTTTTTTTCTTATTTGATGATGATTTCGATTTTATTTGAAGATTTTTCCTTGGTTGAATTTTTTACCATTATGGTCACCTTCCCAAAGAAAAAAATTATTAACTAATTGTTTAGTTTTTTCATCATCAACTGATAATTTCTTCCAGTTATAAGATTCATAATCAACTTTCCAATCGGATTGAAGCTAAAATATCACAAATAAAAAACAAACAAAATTCTTTCTCAATTATTTTACTTCGAAGGCAAGTTCTTGTCCACGCCAAAACCAAACGCCAGCAATAGTATTATTATTGTTCTCACCAAAAACACACATGCTAGCAAATGCGTTTTTACGTAATTTCTCCAAACGTTGAAACATTCCAGAGATTAAGTTACATGTCATAAATACTTGGTTCAAATCTTCTGGAAATTTATATTCACAAAACCAAATTGAAAGATTTTCTTTATCAAAATTGTTCCAGAAATATGGAATAGCTTTTGTAGCTGTGTCTTCATTTGAATAGACACGTTTGAATTCATCCATATTAAATGAGGTTTTTGGCATATCAGCAAATGGATCTTTTTGTTTTGGTTCATCATAGGTGTCTTCAGCTTCATCGGCATCTTCGACTTCTTTTTCTTTCTTAGCTGGTTTTGCAGCTTCTTTGGCTGGTTTTTCTTCTTTAGGTTTTTTCTTATCAGTTTTAGCTCCACCATCACTTGATTGTGAAACATTTGTTGTTCGTTCTTGACGAGAAACTTCAGCATATTTCTTGGCTAAATAAAATTTAAACAAAAAAATATATACAAAAATAAAAGATTGAAATTACCATCGAATTGTGCTGCTTTGTCGCATAATTTATAGTCACTACCAAGAACAGCTTGAAATTCTTTTTGATGAATCAATGTTGAAAACCAACGAGTTACATGTGGATATGGTTCACGTAAACTTGGTTCGATGATCTACAATAAATAAAATTATCAAAAAACAAATATTAGTGTTTTCGTATACCCATTGAAAGAGTAACAATAAATCACAACCAACGGCAACATCAGCTAATGTAATACGTTCACCAACAAGATATGTTCGTGTACGAAGATAATCATTAAGTAATTGTAAAATATGTTTTAATTCATCTTTAGCACGTTCATTATTTTGTTTATTGAATTGCATAATACCCATACATGGATAGACCAATGTAGCTGATGCTGGATTGATTTCTCGTTCACCATATTCAATCCATTGAAGAACTTGAGCTTGTTCTACTGGTGTTTTACCACGAAGTTGTTCATTTGCAACTAAAAAAAGATCATATGAAATTAATTTTAGAAAAAAACAATCTTTATAAAACTTACGAAAATGAGCAATAGCATTGGCTTCAAATAAATGAACACCAGCATCATTCTCGAAAGCGGGTACCTAGAAAGAAAACAAAATATGAAATAGATATTTTCATTTTACTTTTAATCATACTTTTCCTGTTGGAAATTTTTTAAGATAATCTCCTGAGTGGTTGGTATCATTCATTTTGAATTTATCTTCACCAGCAACGGTTAATTGTGCTCCACTGTATTGTGCTGCAATTTGAGCTTTGTAAGCACGAAAATTACCGGGAAATGTATAAAGTGTCTAGAAAATATAAGATTTTAATTTGTTTTTCAAAATATTAAATAATATTTACGCCTTTGCCTTGATTTGATGCCATGTTTGGTTTGTAAACGACGTAAGAGATGACGGGTGGTTATAAATCTATAATATGAATACATATTAACACTTTTAAACATTAATAAAAAAAATTCGAAAAAAACATAAACATTCTTCTTCTTCTGCATCATTCATAAATATGTACTAGTTCGAATAATAAACGTGGTGGAAAGAAAAATAGGTTTTGTCGATGAAACAGATTTTTAATATGGAGGCATTTTGTTTACTGCCCTTGTATTGGTCTATTAGAAGCACAAATGGTTTGGGAGAAAAATATTTTATGGATTTCTTTTTCCTTTCTTACATTATCGTAGAGAAATGTGTTATAATGGAAGTAATCCAACAAATTACGCTCTTTCTTTTTTTTGTTCTTAATTGTTATTGTGAAATGAAACTGTTACAAGCGACGAACATCAATTTATCATACTTGAAAACAGCTGTGATAATAATTGTCATATCAGCAAAATAATTAAATCTAACTTTTCTTATAAGAACTAAAAAATTAAAGTTAATAGCGAAATACCCGATGTAAAACTTAATTCGCCTACGGATACGTATTTTAACTGTTTGTTTTTTCAGATCTAAAAATTGTTAACATTCTCATGAAAGAGCAGAGCGTCTAATAGAAATTTTTTTCAGGAGATTGCATGTCAAAAAATGAGTCCAATTACTATTTCTTTTATTGATAATTGTTGTAATAAAAGCGTATTTTAAACAAATGAAGTAAGTGTCTACCAACGAGTGAGATGCAACTACATTAAATATAAATGTTTTATATGTAAAAGAAAATTTTCAAGACAATGTTCTTATTGTTCATATATAGATTTATAGTTCTATATGAGATGTAAGAAAGAGAATGATGGTTTGAATAAGATTTGTAGTTAAAAAGAGATTATTCGGGTATAACTATATTTTACTGGGCACAGTTAAATAAACAGTTCCTTTCCTTAATAACTGAACTCATCCAGTGTTTTATCCCGCTTTTTTCGCCCGAGGGTGCAAAATTAATTGCCGGGAGGGCAAAAATCTCTCTTCGGGGTGGCAAACATAGAGTTTCGAGCGCAAAAAGCGTAGTTTTTCTGAATTCCGGGACTAGGGGTACCCTCCGAAGGGTCAAAAAGCCCCGTGCCCCTCCCCCCTCCCCGCTGGATAAATCACTGAATTCATCTTTAGTAAGTTAATATAGATAACAAAGAAACATTCAGCATATATACCATTGTAACAGTCTGCTAGGTGTTCACATTTTTAAACTATTGAAGTTTAGAATCAATATATTTCTAATATTAATACGCAGAAATAATAGAATATGAGCATGATACATTTATTAGTATTCCGACAATGACGCCATTCATAAATACTTTATTTAAGCTGATGATTTAACCAGAAAGTTTTATTTTGCTCTTATTCATAGATCGATTCATATAATCTAATAAGAACATACTTGAACACAAAAGAAGATTTTATAATGATTTGACATTGAATATCAAATATTAAAATATATATGACATTCAATGCATCTAATTTTTATTAATTTATAATTCATATCAATACATTAGTATATCTAAAATGAAATCAAAACTCTTCTTTTGAAAATTGTAGATCTACTATATCATCTTACATGACACGATACTTTTCAAGGTTTGTTAATAAAATAAATCAATATTGCACAACTATAGTTATGAATAAGAAACTTTCTAAATCACATATCATCGCTTCTACACTGATATTTTTGTCTTTGGAATAAGATTTTGATTGATCAAATAACAAATTTTCGACTATATCCATCAGTTAATACGTGAGTTTTTATTTGATTAAATGTTTATCTGTAGATTTATTGAGTTATATTTATAATCGTATGAATAAATATGATATACTTTACATATACTTGATTCTTTTCAATTCTATAGATTGAAATATTTTCACTCAAAGCAAATACAATAAAAATCAAATAGCTTGTTAGTTGTTGTAATGTCCTTGGAATAGAATGAATAGATTTATATTAATAATTAAATTCAATAGTCTGATTATATACCTCAAAAAGAAACGATTGAAGTTTAGTATCACAAATATTTTTATTACTTGCATCATCTTATATCACAAATAAATCTATGTTTATATGAATAATACGAACAAAACCATTGATCAATCATCAAATTTTTAAAGTCTATATTATATTCATGCTAAATTAAACTATGATTTGTTTTAGCTAATGTTTTTTCTATCAGTATTGTGAAACGATAGACGAAAAGTTACATTGGAAATCTTTTCATAATATTTATCCGAAGTCTTTCGTTTTCCCCTAACATTTGACATCGATCTATCTTATGATAATAGTATTTACATTACACTATCCTACGATAATATTTCCTTCTTTTAAATAAATTTCTAATATTTTTCAGTGTGAATAAATATATGTAATTAATGTATTGTACTTTATCTTGTTTTTGATGTAATTTACAACTTTAAATGTATTATAATCTTAATCTAAATTATACTCTAGGAAAATCTATATATATTTATTCATGAATATTCGCTATTGAATAGATTGTAGGAAAACATTAGATAGAGTTCGTTATAAAACTATAAATAACGCGGAATTTTATCTCTTAACTAACTACATCAATTGTAATGTTACTTTATTCTGTACTTCGTGTTTGTATATGTATATGCATATATATATAGAGATAGATAGATAGATATATATATATATATATATATGCACATATACATATAAATATCTGTCATAGCTGTTATTGTCCTTCGAGGAAAAAAGAGAAAGAATCTTTGCTAGTTGGAGCAGATGATGATGATGATGTATTTTGCTTTCTTTGTTTCAGATTGGTTATAACAAACATCGTCGTCGATTTTTCTTCTTTTCATTACTATGCTTTCAATCGATCACTTGCTTTACTCTTCGCCTGCCGGTTTCTTATCTTAACGATGCCGCTATGTATATGTGTGTTTGACACTCGTGCGCGCGCAATGTCGGATGTCGCTTGCGTATTCCCTTTCTCTCTCTCTCTCTCTCTCTCTCTCTCTCTCTCTCTCTCTCTCTCT